GCCGCCGCAACGCGGGGCCCCCTCGCACTGCCTCCGCCTCCTCCGCGGCCTCGCCTTTCGCGAGCGGCGCCTCAGAATTCGCGTCTCGCGCCCCCTCCGCCCCGCAGCGCCGCTCCCGGGTGGGCAGCCTAGGGGCGGGGGCGGCCGCCGCCCCAAAGGGCAGAGAGCATCTCCTGCAAGTAAGCGCAGAGGCGGCGGCAGAGACCAATGAGGATATATATATGTATATAACAAGTGTTGTGTCGAGTGCATCTCCCAGATGCTGCACGCAGAGGGGTGTCATTGTGCGGCTGCTGACGTTAGAAAGTGTGGGGTGTTGGCCTGAAGTTTTTCTTCCACAGCACCATCTTTGCGGCCCGCGCAGGCCGCGGGGAATAACCTGGACGTGACGATGGCCAGCTGAGGGCAGGTTACAGACTGCATTCCACCAGAGCCTTGTAGCAAACTCCAGTTCGCTTGCAATGGTATGCGGCTCCGGAGCATGGAGCAGGGCCGCCTGCACGATTCTGGGCTCACGTTTGTGTTGCCACAATTTGTCTTGCAGTTCAGTTTGTGGAGTAGTCGTTTCATCACCTCTTCTTTTTCATGAGCGAGCGAGTAGCAGAGAGAGAAAACGGAGGGGAAGTATGAGGCCTACTGTGTTACACTTCTTGAACACCATGGCTGGTGGGAGAGTGTGATTCTTAATAGCTGGCTCCTGAGGATTGGTGGGGAACCTGATTTTTTTTTGGTCCCACGTCGATTTTTGTGCTATTGCAGTGTGCCAGACGCGGAATGCCGCAGGACGGACGCCTCCGAGGCTTTCTTTAAGGATATTCTCCACAGCGTCTCCCTCCAGCTGTGGGCGGGGGTAGGTACGAGCGGCAGGGCAGACGCGGAGGCACTGCATCCAAGACCCCGTCGGTTTCACGGTCAGTCGACTTGTGGGAGTGCAGGCCAAATTGTTTGCCGCAGCATTCACTATTATTTTGTTTGTGCACTGAGGCAAAAAATGCTGAAGACCCCAAAGCGTTTCACGCTTGGGCTTCTCTCAAAGCACAAGGTGAGAAGCGGCAGCTGCTGCGGGGAACTGCAAGCAGCTGCCACCTCAACTGGATCCACGGTGGGATGTAAGTGAGTGCGGAAGGCATTGCACATATCCAGTGTATTTCTAATTCCAGTCAAAAAAAAAACAACAACAACGGAAAGGCCGCTGTGCTGTGTGGAGGATTCTTCTATGCGTCACCCATAAAAACGTAAAGGAGAAGGAAAAGGAAGCAACACTTCCTACGAGTTATTGCCGTATCTTACGCACTTTTATCAGGCGATGCAAGTTGGAGCTGTAGGAGCTGCATACGTGGGTGCTTTTGACTTTTTATCGATTCCAGCTCTATAAACGTGTGGGACGAAAGTATGAATGGATGGGGCAACGCAGTTGGTAGTGCGTTGTGCTGGGTGCCACCTTTATTTATCCATATATATATATAAACTTATGGGTACAACCACTGCCGCATTGCACGTTGGCGAATGTGGTGCCTTTTATTCTTTTTATCCACCACTTCTCTTCTGTTGTCCTACATGCGGGAATGAGTCTTGCGGTTGCGGGGCTCCACAGTGTGTTATTTCTTGTCTTTAGAACGAGGGATTAGTTGTCGTTAGAAAAAAAAAAGACGCGAATGTATGCATCGTTTCTGGGCGCATATGCGTCTTTGTTAACCTTTGGCATTAACTGTGGATTTCTGAGCGTACCGACCCTAACCGTTATCTCTTCATTGTTTTTTTTCTCTCTTTTTGGCAATATATATTTGACAAGGTCTACTCCAGAGAGGGGCATATTGACGTTATGCTTCTTCTTTTGCTTTCTTGCATCCTCCTTGTATTTTTAAAATTTTTTGTCTTGTATGTTTTCATATTTGTTTTTTGTCTTCCTGTGCGCGAGTAGCGGTTTAATGCTTCCTCGTGGGTTGCGTGGCTTCTGGAAACGCGGTATATTTTGCCTTTTTTTTTTGACGGCACGCCTTTTTTCTTCTCTCCTGTGTGCGGGTTTCCCTGCGTCGTGTCTTTTGGACGCCTGGCCTTCTCCAGGGGGAGGCGCGCTGTGGGGCACGTAAGGCGTGTCACCGCGTTTTGTGCCTGCGGCGACGCAGGGTCGTTCAACCACATGCAGCCGACATTTGTGCTGCACGGAGACGCAGACGCTCCTACGGGGTGTGTATGCATCTCCTTCTTTTCCTCTTCCTTCTTCACCGCGCCGTTTCCCATACGCTGACCCGCGTGCCTCCATGTATGTTTTTTCTCTTCTCTTTGGTTTGCCTTTTAACACGCACACACGGAGGAAGAGTTTAATCATAACGGCACGGCAAAATCACTGAACGGTGTTATTTACGAAAGATAATATATATATATATATACTTATATACTTAGTTAACTGTTGATCAGGAGGCAAGAGAAGCGGCTTTGAAGTTACTGCGCGTCGTTCGACAAAAAAAACACGGATAGGCGAGAAGGGAACTCGGTAACGTAACACGCATACATACTCTCACACGAAACAAAAGAAGCCTAGGGAAAGGGGATTGTGGAGTTGACACGATGGGCTGCTGCAATTCGAAGGAAAAAAAACCGACTCCGGTTGCTCCTGCGCGGGTCGCCCCCATCGAGAAGGCGCCGCCGCCTCCCGTTGAGGCACCGGAGGAAGTTGTCGTGACTGTCACGGAAGAACCCAAGGCGGCGACGCCACCGTGGATAGATCGCTTGATGCGAGTGGTGACGACAAAGATGTCAGTGTACAGGTATGCGAAGTGCGGCGTGGATGGTGAGCCAACCTCGTTCTTCCCTCCACGGGGACTCTGTCACCTTCTTGAGCAGGGCGACACGTGGCTGTTGTACAACGACACAATGAACTACGAGATGCATGTGAGTTACCAATTTAGCCCGGACGCCAACGTGACTCCGCTCGGTCGCTCCACAAAACACAGTGAGGAGGATGGTTCGACCGTTGTCTCTGTGGTGGTCTATCCTCTTGAGACGGTGGAGTTTGTGTGTGGAGAAAAGGGAACCTACAAGTCGGATGTGTCTGCCCAGGCACTCTCCGACGAGTACCGGCAGAACCTGCAGATCCTTACCAAGGCAGCCACGGAGGAGCTGCAACGCGTTTCAGAGCTGGCGAGCAGTCCTTTGGACGATGAGGCTCTGCTTTTGAAGTGTCTTGAAGCAATGATTCCATATGTTGACCTGAAATTTACGCCCTCTGAAACCATGCTCTGCCGTCCTAATGTCGATGGTCGCTTCATTGCACCGACGGAGATAAGGCGGGCGACGGAATGCCACGGCGTAAACCCAAATGCGGTGGACGCTGTCCGTGGCGTAGTTGTCCCGCACTGCATTGATTCTGGGTTTCTTTGCGATCATTGGCTCATGTGCGCCGTGACCGCCCTGGCGGAGAATGAGGAGCGTGTGAAGGAGATTTTTGCGCTCTGCACCCCGGAGGAAAGGCGGTTGGGTGCGTATCGTCTCCTGCTTAACAAGAACGGCTGGTGGAAGCCGGTCCTGGTAGACGACTTTCTACCCACCGTCAATGGTATACCGTGCTTCGCACGCGTGCTGGATGACCCATCTGAGTTGTGGGTCTCACTACTGCAGAAGGCGTACGCCAAGTTGCACGGGTCGTACGCCAGCATAACAGGCGGGGATGCCTCACATGCGTTACGAGACTTTACAGGCGCCCCATCGTACCGGTTTGATGGGGCCTGGATGGACGCCACCCAGCAGGATTCGAAGAAGAAGGAGCTGCTGGATAAACTTACACGCTACATTGATGCTGGTAACGTTGTCCTGCTGAACACCCCCGCAGCGAAGGCCGGCACGGAGGGTGCAAGCAACGGGCTGATGGCTGGCTACACGTACTACCTGAAGGCGGTACACCAGTTCCCAGACCTTGGCGTCACGCTGCTAAACCTTCGTAACCCGTGGAATCCCGTGGAGCCGTGGACAGGGGAGTGGTGTGCGGGCAGCAGCATGTGGGACACATACAATGAGGTGCATCTTGGATGCAACCCGGACTTTTCTGTCAAAGATGGCTCCTTCTGGATGGAGTGGGCCGACGCCTCCAAGCATTTTGACGGATGCAGCGTCGTGTTGCTCTCGCGGGAGCCAGTGTATGACTATCGTGTGCGCGGTGAGTTCAGCTACGTGCAGCCCAGTGTCGTCTTCATGGTGCGTGCTGCCGAGCCCGTAGAGGTGATGCTTACTCTCACGCAACAGGATAAACGGGGCGTGCCGCTGGAGATGCCGGATGCAAAACTTTCGCCCATGATGCTCAGCGTTTCACGTGGTGAGGGAAACAAGCAGCGGGTGGACAAGAACAGCTCGAGCGATCCGGAGGCGCCCAGTGAGGCGTTCACGTTTGTTGTTGCTCGCGAAGTTGCCATGACCTACACCTTTGAGCCGAGTGATGAGCCATACTTTGTTGTCCCTCGCATTCACCGCAAGGGAACCTCGGAGGGACGGCAGAAGGAGTTCGTCCTCGGCGTGCGCTCCGCCACGCCACTGGAGGGCAAGTTGGACATTCAGTTCACGGAAATTGCCGCCACCAACCCTGTCCTGCACAACCGCGTGGTATTTGTTGTTGAGGACACAGCGGAGGTAATTCGCCCGCTGCAGACGAAACTGCCGGGAGAGGCGGTGGCGACGAGCGCCGGCAGCAAGCTGTCCACCGCGACGATTCTGGAGAGGCAACACACGCCTCTGGAGGCGGAGGCGGAGGAGAAAGAGGAGAAAGAGGAAGAAGTGAAGGAGGAGGAAGAGAAAGAGGAGGAAGTGAAGGAGGAGGAAGTGAAAGAGGAGGAAGTGAAAGAGGAGGAAGTGAAGAAGGAGGAAGTGAAGGAGGAGGAAGTGAAGGAGGAGGAGGCGCTGTGAAGGATGAC